TAGTTTCAGCTTCTGGTCCAGTGGTTCTCAGAAAAAAGATGTTTCCTTTAAATTTTAATGTAAAACTCGAATTCCCTATTGTGGCCCAACCTTTTCCCTAAGGTACAAATGTGAACAATTTAAAATCTACACTACATTTCCACATAAAGAACTATATGCGGTATATTGCATATATTTGCCCCCACAAAAGTCATATTTGAAAAATTCTTGAAATGTGCTGAATTTTATAAATTGTATGAGAAATATAAATTAACAGATCATATTATAGTTTCAAAGTAGTTTATTGACAATTTTTGTTTTTATGACGTCACAAACTAGTTCAATTTTATATCATTTTTTAGAAAGAAGACAAAATGGACAAAATTTCAACAATTTTAACTTTAAAATTTACAGAGCGCAAGTTTGCTCAGGAACAATATTTACATATTTCATTGATATTATCATTCTACACATATCAAAATATTGAGCCTGATCAGATCTGCGCTCGGTGACTCTTACTCAAAATATCGACGTAAAATATACAATTTTTTTGTACAAATCATGGAAATTTTAAATTTACGTCATTTTCGTGACATCATTTCAAACATATAACGTCATTGCTAATGAAAATATTCAGTGTTTTGAAGTCAGCATATATTCCCCTGTTTAAGAACATAATTAAATATTTCTCTGTCAAAGTTTGATTTTGGGGGGCAAATATGGGTTAATCATTACCGAATAAAGCTTTTTAGCTTTTACGGTCAAATGGTTTGAATCTACACTACCCAGGGTTGCTTCCATAAAAGTTTTAGCTTCACTGGCCAAGTGGTTCTTTAGAAATTTTTTTTAATGTCCCTTTACTATTCTCTTCTTTTCTTGATTATCTCCCCTTGTAAGACGACTTGGCCCATCATTTTCATAATTTAACACCCCTTCCCCTTCAATCAGGGATGCTTTATAGCTCACTAAATCCTAGATTGAATTCAAACTTTGGTTCTTTTTAATAATGTACTTAGGTATTAAAATCATTTTATAACACAGAAATTGCATTTTGTATTCTTAGTTACAGAATTCCACTAATTATCAATTTTTTTCATTCTCTCTACTGTCCTTCTTATGGAGAAGTCGCATATGTCTACAAAAACGATTACATAAGAGAAAAGACGCATATGTCTGCAAACACAATTACCGGATATATAAGAGAAAATTAGCATATGTCTGAAAAAAAACAATTACATGAGAGAAAAGACGCATTTCTTGCGACATTTCCAAGAGTAACATTTTTTAAAAGTGAGTGAAACAATTTCAAATGCCAATGAGACGGATATAGTCACATGCTCTTTAGAACTTCAAAAATAGAACACTGTAAAATTCACTTATTCAAGGACTATATATAGACACATGTAATCCATCTAATAAAAGGTGAAGATGATCCACACAATATATCTTATAGACAGTTAGTAACAAACCAAATATATGAAAGTGATAATGCAAACTAGAAATATGTCCATAGGACATAAATGCCACGCCGAGGATATATTAGTAAAGCAACATGAAAATTTGTATGCATATAAAATTTCATCAGAATATCTTGAATAGTGATGCAGCTGAATTGCTTACATTAGTATGTATCAGCATATGAAGTTTGACACTAATTTCATTAAAGTGAGGTCAAGGTCAAAGGAAATACCAAGGTCAAAAACTGTTGATTCACTTGAAATGCTCACCTCATTATCTATCAGCTTATGACGTTTGACACTAATTTAGGAAAAGTGAGGTCAATGTTAAAGCAAAGGTCAAGGTCAAAAATGTTGATGCAGTTGCATATCTCTCATCAATATGTATCAACGTAAGAAGTTAAAAATATCAAGAAATAATGTCTTTAATTAAAGACTGACTTGTACACAATTTGATAAAAGTGAGGTCAAGGTCAAATAAAAGGTCAAGGTCAAAATTGTTGATGCAGTTGCATATCTCTCATCAGTATGTATCAACATATGAAGTTTGATAAAAATATCTAGAAATGATGTCTTTAATAAAACATAGGTAATCAAAGATTATGAAGCTCAACTCTACGAAAGTTATCAGTGTAAGTTAAATGCAAATCTCAGATCATATTTTCTTAATATTTAGTATTTATCCCAACAATAATATTCTTGAAAGTTGTGTTTATCCCTTACATGGCATATACACATTTCTATACATGTAGCATGAAAAACATGTATAGTGTGAACAAATATTCATAACGTTGTTAATACTGTAGATATCAAGAACTTCAAATTCACTGGGATTGATCTGTTCCCAAAACTTGAACCTGGTCTCTTGTTTGGAAAATATAGGTCAGATCCAGCATCTGAATCAATTCTGGTAGTGTCCATCCCTAGATGCATCATCCATGCAAGTTTGGTTCAGGTAGAGCTTATAGTTACTAGGAATAAAAATGTAGGTCAGATCCAGCATCCGAAGCAAGTCTGGTAGTGTCCATTCCTAGATGCATCATCCATGCAAGTTTGATTCAAGCAGAGCTTATAGTTACTGTGGAAGTACTTTTTTCCGCATGGTATTAATTTACGCTATGTACGCGGTCACAAATTTTCCACGGAAATTTGTCCAAGCGTACTCAATATAAATGTAAGGCATACAGTGACTGTCTAAGAAATCCGCGTAATTTTCTACACGCGGATTCAACAGAAATTGAGATTCCGCGGAATTATGACCCCGTGGAAAAAGTACGTCTACAGTACTTGGGAATGAAAATATAGGTCAGATGCAGCATCCGAAGCAAGTCTGGTAGTGTCCATCCCTAGATGCATCATCCATGCAAGTTTGGTTCAGGTAGGACTTATAGTTACTTGGGAATGAAAATATAGGTCAGATGCAGCATCCGAAGCATGGCTGGTAGTGTCCATCCCTAGATGCATCATCCATGCAAGTTTGGTTCAGGTAGGGCTTATAGTTACTTGGGAATGAAAATATAGGTCAGATCCAGCATCCAAGCATATATGGTAGTGTCCATTCCTAGATGCATCATCCGTGCAAGTTTGATCCAAGTAGGGCTTATAGTTCCTTAGGAATGGACCTGCTCCAAAAACTTAACCTGGTCACTCATCTGGAAAATATAGGTGAGATCCAGCATCCAAAGCAAGTCTGGTAGTGTCCATCCTTAGATGCATCATCCATGCAAGTCTGGTCCAAGTAGGGCTTATAGTTCCTTAGGAATGGACCTGCTCCAAAAACTTTAACCTGGCCACTCATTTGGAAAATGTAGGTCAGATCCAGCATCTGAAGCAAGTCTGGTAGTGTTCATCCCTAGTTGCATCATCCGTGCAACTTTGTATCAACATGTGAAGTTTGATAACACCATCTTGAATGGTATGTTTAAAACTAAGCTAAACACTAAAATAAGAAAAGTGAGGTCAAGGTCAAAGGAAAGGTCAAAGTCAAAAAATTATGATGCAGTTGCATATCTCTCATCAATATCTATCAGCATATGAAGTTTGGTGAAAATATCTTGGATAGTTTCTTTGAAACTTAGCTTTGAACAGACCTAAACGCAAAGTGTGATGGAAGGACAGACGGAAGGACAGCTAGACAGAAGGATGGAAGGATGGAAGACAGACATGACAAACACTATATGCCCCGGCCATATTCATGGCGGGGCATAAAAATATTTAAAGTATTCGTTATATTTGAAATTAAGTCCCATAAGGAATTTGGATTTGGTAAAGGCTGAAATTGTTATCACATCAAAAACACAAACATGTTGGATAAGAAGAAACAATTGATTTCTTTTATTTCTTTAATCTTTCACTATTTCATAACGATTTTTTCCATACATCTGAAGAAAGCTATGAGTGAAGGCTTCCAAAAAAAGTGCTAAACAAATTAAAGCAAATATTTCAAAATATTATCTTATAAATACAGCTTGGAAAGGTTAAGATCCAAAAACATCTTCTTTATATTTTTATAATTGATAAATATGCTTAATATCATAAAAAAAATATTAAGTTACGACTCCATCCAATAAAAAATATGTACTCAATGATTTAATTTGCTTCATGGCTGACAATCAAATGAACCGAAAATGACTTTCTGGAGAAGGCTGTTTCTATTAAAAGATAAGTATTTTTAAAAAGAGGTTTAGCAAAACAATTATAAAACAGAAAATGTTGTACATGTATATAGCCATCTTACTCCTGGCTATTATAAGCATTCTTGTGTAAAAAAAAATATAATTTAAGTCAGAAATGTTATATATATATAGCATAAACATTCATATGATAAAACTACAAATCACAAATATCAGGAATGTAATTTAGCATATAAACATTCAACAAAATTCCTGTTGTAATGTTATTTTTAAGGTTTTAAATAAAACTGACTATTTCTTGATTGTAATATACATATTTACTCATGATACTGTAAGTCATCAGTAATTATCACCATCAAAACAACAATTTATACCGACTGACCATTTATGTGATATATGACATACATATACCGTTAACAATAATAGAGGACATTGAATATTCTGAGTTAAGGTTCATAAATCCTCTGCTCACTCATATTAAATGTTGCTTGAACCTTCATGTTTTTACTAAGAATAGTATTTTATAAGTAAATTACAAACAATTATAGCATATCTTGCGGGACAAAATTGGACAAAAAAGACACTTCAACTTGGCAAATCTATAAAGGAATAATAGACATGTATGTCATTAAAAGTTATCTCTCTTATCAGAGTATCGATGACCCTTAAAAACTAAACCATGAAGATGTCTTAATCGATAATATAAAACTATGTATAGTCATAGGTAAAGGGAGAATAAAATGATACTGACACAATTCATGCTATTAAATTATAATACTGTTTATCACATTTGTTTCCCTTACCATTTGGTCCTTTATGATATATGTATAATATATATTATCTTTATTTATATCATATTAACAATATTATAATATATGGAATAATACATGTACTTTAAGTAAATTGTAACAATTATAAACATGGTAAAACTTTAAAATGTGATGTGTTTCCATCGTCCATAAATTAATTATGATATTGCTTTCATAACAATGCTTAACAATCACAATTATATAAATCTATAAACAAACAATTTGAAACAGCAGTTTGACAGAAAATAAATATTTTAAGAGAAAAAGTACTTTCATATGCAAGCTGGCATACAAAAAATGGATTTCACAATTCGTATAGAGAATTCATATATGTGTCTTAAAACTGTCTTTTTTTCTACTTCTATAAAAACTAAAAGCTTCTCATCACATAAGCAAAATAAGCACAATGGTTAAATTTGGTAAAGCCTTTTCACACTGCATTATTAGTACATAAAAAAGTGCCACACACACTGTACTCTGAAATTATACTAAAGGGAAACAATGCACATTGACAATTGTAAAAATCATTTTAAATTAAAAATACAAATGCTTTATGTCACTGGTAAACTACATCTCTTAAATCTGATCACTTAAATACACTATATACGTGTATATGTGTGTATATTGTACAGTTTAAATTTGCCTCATGAAACATTCTTTTTATTTCACAAATTCAAACGTTATCGATTCTCAGATTAAAATTGGACAAATTCTTAAAATCTAAGAATTAAATTGGTCCAAACTTTCAACAAATGAATAAAAACTATATCTTGAACACAACTGTTCCTGATATCTAGATATTCTAACATCTTTTAGAAATCCTAATATCTACTAGTGATATCCTAATATCTACTAGATATCCTAAAAACTACATCACAAATCTGATTAAAATCCCATAACAACCAAATCTCCACAACAGGCACACAACAATGGACGGTTTTATTGCAGTTTAGTTTTGAACACAATTGATTTTTACTCTTTACGTCCCTCAAGGATTTTTAATATTGCAGCGCACTCCTCTTGTGCATATTTAATAGCAGCAGACATTTCTTCTTTGACCTGTAATGAAATATTAATAATCTAGATATGTTTTTTGTTTATCTGCAACATGAAATAACTCCTATTTTTATGTTGGAAAAATTAATATTATGTCATTGTGATGAATTGATTTTAATTAATTAAGCAAGGAAAATTGATATTTTCCCAAGTTTATGATTGTTTACAGAGGAAAAAAAGTAGACAAAACAATAATTAGAATTAAAATTAAAACATATGTCTTATTGAAAACTTGTTTTATACCTGAGATGTAAACTCTGGATCCTTTAGATCAGCCAGGTTAGTGTTTACATTGTAAAATGTTCCCCATACACCAGTTTCTAACATTCTCACTCCAACCTTCAGAAAAAAATATGACATACTGTATTCAAATCTCAAAGAATTAAATTCAAATTTTATCATAGAATGTACACTTACAATTTGCTACTACATAATTTATTCTCATTACTTTACAGAAATCTAATAAATATAATCACCAATATACATATTTTTAAAAGATAACGCATATAAAGGGAGATAACTTATATGAGTCTCAGAGTAACTTTTGTGGAAATAATAAATTATAGGTACTTGGTCTAACCATAAATTGTTTATAAAACAACTGATTTATCAAATTACAAAGCTTCAGTCTTATAGCACTGCCTTACTTGTAGGTCCGATTTACAGTTAATGTTACAGATAGCAGCTAATTCTTTGATGGTTGGCCATAACTGATTGGCAATTCTAGACACGGTGAGTGGAACCTGTATAGCTGTCTTCAGACCTTCCTGCATGGCATAATCTCTCCTGAAAATTAAACACAAAAAATACTATCAATATCATATATTTGGAAATTTTCACATCTGTTTTATTTTCGTCCCTTTTGCCCTAGATGCAACTGGGTGAATTAATTACAGGGCAAATTCAAAGAAAACAGAATGAGTTCAGAAATGTGACTGAGCAAATTTTAAAATGAGGCAGAATTGTTTGAAAGTGTGAAAGCTAAGACAAAAATAACCCTATATCAGTAATTGGAACTTGTATGAAAAACCAGTCAGATGCAACATAGCAATTTTGAACATTTTGTAACTATACAAATTGAGGTAGATTTTTAGAATCCACATGGTTAGACTGACCATTTGAGTGAGAGATTATTAACACAGATTTTAAGGCCAAATTGCCAGTCCATACTTACATCATTCTATCTTCTTCTGTTTCTTTTGGTAATTTTGTTGCCAACTGAAAAAAAAAAATTCACACAATTATGTTCTTTTTATGTTAAGTTCCATACCAATACAAATCTAATTCTATTTGTTGGCGAATACCAAAAATAATAATTATATTAATATATGCTGAGCAGAGCATGAAAACTTAATAATGGCCCAACTTACCATGTATTCACTGTACGCTGCGGCATCAGCATCCACAAACTGCATGAGGTCTTTCATGGCTTTGTACAGCGGGGGGATCAGTTCTCTCATCTTACCATCCAGCTCGTAATATTTCCTGTTTCCATAGGTCAGGAACCCCACCATACTCCCAAGGGAGGCACCCTTAAAGATAAATAATTTTTGTTTACCCTCTTCTGACTCAGGGTTAAAAATTTGGGTTGATAGGTTGGTGGGAAATATTTTTTGAGTACTGCATGAAATTCATTAAATTTTGATACACACATCACTATATGCACACTTATGAATTAAAAGTGTGCATGTATACATATAAGAGACAATCTGCTCATGTAATTTCACTCTCGGGTATATATCTTAAGGATATAAACTGGTACATTGTAAAACAATCATATTTGCAAAAACAATTAAATAGTCTAACTAGTAAAATACAAAATAGTTTTCTTATGAGAATAAGGCATAACAAGAGGCCCATGGGCCACAATACTCACCTGAGCACTTTGACTTGGAAAAAGTAGTAATTGGTTTATTATTGAAAAGTTTAAATCCAAAAGTAGTCCCATGATCAATCATGCATTTGCTATTCTTGAGAAGATGATTTTTAAAGAATTTTCCTATATAATTCTATGTTAAACTTTGGTCGGTCATTGTAACTCGGCCCTACCCCCGGGGGTCATGATTTGAACAAACTTGAATCTACACTACCTGAGGATGCTTCCACATAAATATGATGAATTATGGCTTTGTCATTCTTGATAAGAAGATTTTTAAAGAATTTTCCTAATAGATATATTTCTATGAAAAACTTTTGTTGGCCATTTTGGCCCCGCCCTATCCCCGGGGGTCATAATTTGAACAAACTTGAATCTACAACACCTGAGGATGCTTTCATATCAATATGATGAATTATGGCTTTGTCATTCTTGAGAAGAAGATTTTTAAAGAATTTTCCTATATATTTCTATGTAAAACTATGGTCGGCCATTTTGGCCCCGTCCTACCCCCGGGGATCATGATTTGAACAAATTTGACTCTACACTACCTGAGGATGCTTCCAAATAAATATGATGAATTATGGCCTTGTCATTCTTGAGCAGAAGAATTCTAAAGAATTTTCCCATATATTTCTTTTTAAAACTTTGGTCGGCCATCTTGGCCCCCCCCTACCCCCGGGGGTCATGATTTGAACAAACTTGACTCTACACTATCTGAGGATGCTTCCATATCTATACTATGAATTATGGCTTTATCATTCTTGAGAAGAAGATTTTAAAAGAATTTTCCTATATATTTCTATGTAAAACTTTGGTCGGCCATCTTGGCCCTGCCCGACGCCCGGGGGTCACGATTTGAACAAACTTGAATCTACAACACCTGAGGATGCCTCCAAATAAATATGATCAATTATGGCTTTGTCATTCTTGAGCAGAAGATTTTTAAAGAATTTTCCTATGTATTTCTATGTAAAACTTTGGTCGGCCATTTTGGCCCCCCCCTTACCTGCGGGGGTCATGATTTGAATAAACTTGACTCTACACTATTTGAGGATGCTTCCAAATAAATATGATGAATTATGGCTTTGTCATTCTTGAGAAGAAGATTTTTAAAGAATTTTCCTTTATTTTATGTAAAACATTTGGTCGGCCATTTTGGCCCTGCCCTACCCCCGGGGATCATGATTTGAACAAACTTGAATCTACACTACCTGAGCATGCTTCCAAATAAATATGATGAATTATGGCCTTGTCATTCTTGAGCAGAAGAATTCTAAAGAATTTTCCCATATATTTCTATGTAAAACTTTGGTCAGCCATCCTGGCCCCGCCCTACCCCGGGGGTCATGATTTGAACAAACTTGACTCTACACTATCTGAGGATGCTTCCATATCTATACGATGAATTATGGCTTTGGCATTCTTGAGAAGAAGATTTTAAAAGAATTTTCCTATATATTTCTATGTAAAACTTTGGTCGGCCATTTTGGCCCCGCCCTACCCCCGGGGTCCTGATTTGAACAAATTTGAATCTACACTATCTGAGGATGCTTCCATATCAATATGATGAATTATGGCTTTGTCATTCTTGAGAAGAAGATTTTTAAAGAATTTTCCTATATATTTCTACGTAAAATTATGGTCGGCCATTTTGGCCCCGCCCTACCCCTGGGGGTCATGATTTGAACAAATTTGAATCTACACTACCTGAGGATGCTGCCATATAAATATGATGAATTATGGCCTTGTCATTCTTGAGAAGAAGATTTTTAAAGAATTTTCCTATATATTTCTATGTAAATCTTTGGTCAGCCATCTTGGCCCTGCCCGACCCCCGGGGGTCATGATTTGAACAAACTTGACTCTACACTACCTGAGGATGCTTCCATATAAATATGATGAATTATGGCTTTGTCATTCTTGAGAAGAAGACTTTTAAAGAATTTTCCTATATATTTCTATGTAAAACTTTGGTCGGCCATTTTGGCCCCGCCCTACCCCCGGGGGTCAAGATTTGAACAAACTTGATTCTACACTACCTGAGGATGTTTCCCTATTAGTTTCATCTTTCCTGGCACAGTGGTTCTTGAGAAGAAGATTTCTAAAACATGTCACCAAATTTTATTAATTCCTAATTATCTCCCCTTGAATGAGAGCTTGGCCCTTCATTTAAAGAAACTTGAATCCCCTTCACCCAAGGATGCTTTGTGGCAAGTTTGGTTGAAATTGGCCCAGCGGTTCTTGAGAAGAAGTTGAAAATGTGAAAAATTTACAGACAGACAGACGGACAGACGGACGCCGGAAAAAAGGTGATCAGAAAAGCTCACTTGAGCCTTCGGCTCAGGTGAGCTAATAAAAAAATTATTGATTTAAAGTATACAATCCTTTAAGAATTTTACTCACAAGACTTGCTGCCAGGGCTGACACAGAGCCACCCCCGGGGGAGGGAGACCGTGACCCCACTGTCATCACGAAGTCCCTGACATCCATGGATACAAGGGGCCCACCATCAGCATCATCCGAGATCATGTATCTGAATCAAAATCACACAACTTATGTTTAAATTTTATAGGTGATTGTAGCACATTTCAATTTCATTATAGTTTATGAAAATCTCTTTCAGGGAGATAATTTAAATCTGTAGTCTCCAGATAAAATTAATTATGCTTCTTACAGAAATAAAAATCACTTATAATTTACATATTATACACATATCTGATTATGGATTCTAATAAATGTTTTTACCAATTTTAAATTTGAAAATTTGACCTAGAATGCTGTGTATAAAGGGAGGGAACTAGTAGTGATTAATTGAATCCAACATACTCAATAATCCTCTCTTTGGGACTGAATGGTCCTAAGGAGTTTAATCCTAGCCTGTTAATTACCTACAATAAAAATAATAAGTCTTCAAAAGAGCAAAAAAAAAAAATTAATACTTGATTTGATTATGTCACATCAAAAAGGGGGGGGGGGGAGAGAAAAAACATTTCTAATGGTATATTACTCTGATTCATTGTATCACTACGTAATAAAAAATTTGATCCATAAGAATTGATTACATGAAATTTGCAGCTTCTTAAGAATGTGATGCACTGGAGGGGGGAGGGGGGGCAGTAAATTAGCATGGCACTTTACAGCAC